TTGTGTCGACACGGGTGCAACACTGAAAGTGAAGAGTTTGAGCAACTTAGCTTAAAACACAAGGATAGATTGGAGGAAGGAGATATGAGAGCGAGTGCACAATGAATTAGGGAGGGAGTGGAAGTGAAACAACAAATATAGGAAGACTGGATCTGGGTTGTGGGTTAGAGGAAGCAGGAAGATATGACCCAGGGATGTTGATGGTTTAGGGCATTGAACGTGTCACTAGTGGAATAGAATGAGAGCTATAGAGAAACGAGGATTGATGAAGAAAACTTAGAGAAGGGATATGAAGTCGTTTTGGATTTACTTGGGGCAAACATGTCTATTTGAAGCTTATCTAGATGGACCTTATATCCTGGTAGATAATTTGCTCTTCCTTTATCTGTGCATGTGACCAAGAAAGGCCATCTAACAACAAAATAACTCCACCACCACCACCACCTTGATCATTAACTAATTGGAGCCTGCTAAAAAGGTTACCTTACTTGGTTGCAAATGTTCTCCAAACAATAAACAAAAATGTGCTTTTGTAGATTTCCTGTCATTCCACGATTTTTCCTTTTATTTCAATTTCTTCTTAAGTGCTATGACTCTTTTCTCATCCCCTGATTGCTTTGTGGGATCACCCTCCCCCCCTTATGGGGAGTCAATAGTATAATTGGTGAGTGCATTATTTAGTCACAACAATGAAGTGAAATTCCATCTAAGCTAATTTCTGAGATGGCCTGTCACTTCTTCAACTATTTTATATTGTGGCATTTTTATTGGCAGGAGTGGTCTTACAGTTTTATTAACTTATGAAACATACTGAACTTTTACAGATACGGGAAATGAGTTTTTTGTTTGAGATGAACCCTAAGTATGCCAAGCAGTACATAGAAAGCATTACCCAGAATAAAGGAACAGTTAGCAAATTTGAACAGTCACCTGAAAGGAAACCATGATGAACACCTTTAAGGTATCTTTGTTGTTCTTGTTCTGTTCTGTAAATTAACCTTATGTTGAATCAATATCTTTTGTTGAGGATCAGTTTCCTCTGTTCATTAATGGATGTGTAGGTTGTATATATCTCTTTATGTTCCTGTGAAAATGTCACCTAACCTGCCCTGATCCCCTTATTACCTTGTTTCTTTTCTTCATCTCTATGCGGATAGTTTCACTGGGACTCAGTTTTTCTCTTCTGGAATTAAATTTAGGAGAAAGGAGGAGAGTAATTATGATCACATAGCTGCCTAAAGAAAGATTAAATGTCCAAATGGGAGAATCAAAGTTTTACAGAAGAATTTGATCTATAGCTGTCTAAAGAAAGATGCCCATTTCATTTACAAATATTTTCTTCCAGATTAAACTACTCAAATGTAAATGCTGTGAATAGAGTTTGATAAAAAATAAAATAATAACATCTCAAGTCTTTTACTCTCGTATTTCAGAGGTTTAATTATATATACAATTTGCCTCCTTTTCTTTTTTCTTTCTGAAAGGAGAATGATTGCAAATTGATGAGTTATTATTTGTTTTAATCAACTCTAATTATTTGCCTTATCCTTCTTTAAGTCCGTAGAAAGTCTCTGGATTTTTGTTTTCTCTGGGAATTAAATGGATTACTTGTTCATATTAATTGAAGTGGGTTGAGAGCCATGAAGTCTCGGGTCAATTCTCACTGAGACCAAATATTACGGTAGGATATTTTCTAACCTTCACGAGCATAAATATAATAATTCCATTGGCCAAGACTTTGACAAATGGGAAGAAAGATAGCAAATATCCCATGTATTAGTTGAGGTGCATGGTGCCGGTACCCAGTTATCAAAAATAACTTATCTATATATCTGTCAGTTATTTTAAACATTCCCTTGAACTAACCACTACCAGTAAAGATTTTATCAATCACCGTAATGTTTTTGAGCTCTGACTTCTGATGCGCCGTCTCGATCTTGTCGTTGATTCTTCATCATAACAAACCTATTCCTGGAAGCCTGCCAATTGTGTCTATCATTTGAAGTGTAATCTGCCAAGCTTCTTTCGATTGTTTTAGAAGTTCAGATTTTCGTCTCTTATTCCCTTTTGCTTCTTTTGACAAAGTGTGTTAGGAATCTATTCCTCATTCTATAGAAATTGGAAGGTGGATGCATCCTAAATAAATACGTAACAGATTAGAGATTATTCGCCAAAATCTATTAATTGTTCCATGTCCTACAAACCTTTCTTGTTTCTCTTTTTATACAATTTCCATGAGTGCTACTGGAACGTTGCACGCATTTCTTCTTCACTATCTTGTAAAGGTCAGTTGGGATAACCTTGTATTTAACAAAAGAACTCCTTGAAATTTGGCAATGCGAGTCGATTACCTACTTGGCAGTTCATATTGACTTCTAACAACGGATATCATAGCGATCAATTTCTCCTATGTTTGAATAAAATGGTCTTAAAGATAAGACAGTAGTACATACATACAATAGCGAATAGTGAAGCATCTTTCTCCGATTAGGTTAAGAAATGAGCTAGCGACTGCGATTAGGTAGAGGGCAGCCTTTATTTTATTGTTCCCACTTTTTTTTTTACAAAATAAAAACACAATGCATTCAACAGGTTTGGGACCCTAACGTCTCTCTGTGTGATCTGGTAGGGAGTAACCTTATTTTATTGTTTCACTTTATAATGGGATTTTTAATAATGCACTTACACTCTGTTTGAATGGTTGTTACATACTACATAATGTATCATACTGTATTTTGTTGTATTGTGTTGTACGGTATTAATTTAATGAATATGACGTTGGCAAGATTGTATCATTTTTCATGGTTACATAATGTAATACATCAATAATTTAAACGATAAACCTACAAGAATGTTGGGTATGAGTATAGCTACTATAAAAAAGTAGTAAAGGATAAAATAGCATTATTAAATAATAAGTAAAAATAAAATGAGAAAAAATAAATAAGGCAACAACACGATTATGCTAAATTAGTAGTTACACTAAAGGATACTTAGTTTTTGTTATTACCTAATAATACAAAAAATTAAAGTAACAATCAAAACAAACATTGTATTTAATTTAACAAGGGATTACAGCCTTCCAAATAAGCTGTTAAGATGTTCGGACCCTAACGGTCACCCTTAAGATGACATGCCAGACCAATGGGGCTAATAGGGGATGGGTTAGAATTTTTGAACAGCACATCGATATTCTTCCATAGCAACCAACCAAATATTCGTTACACATTTTCCAGTTGTAAGTGATCCTTGATATATTCTTAAAGACAAAACAGAGAAGTGTTCAAAGAACATTGGTGCTAATTATAAGCTTTTTTATGAGTTTAACAATTTGAATGTATAATGTGGCATTTAGAAGTACCAGCGGTATCAAATGATTGGGTGGGGTGAAAGTGAAACGGCTTACAGTAATTTAAGTCAAAACCTAGCCTACCACTTAAAAGTTGTTTCAGTCAAAAATTAAACATAGCTGAGGTGTTGGACACCCTTAAAAAAAAACTCGGCACTTCTTTTTGTTCTGACAAATTATTTATTTAAGAAATTAAGGCGTTAGGTCAATCTCTAGGAAATATAAGTGTATCTGGCCAAAATAAGCTGGCTGCAAGTAGGTTAAACTGCGGGTCACTATTCTACCTCTCTAAACCACCTTTGGACACATTATAGATTGTACTTTTAAGTTTTAACATTGTTGTTAGGAAGGTTCTTGAATGTGCTATTAGTAATGGAGAGTAGAATGTAAAAAATTTATTTGACACAAGATTTTCTCTAATGTTAAGAATGTTATCGATATGATGCAGAAACGAGTGGCTGCATCATGGGAGATAGGAGTGATGTATGAAGATATTTGGATGCTCTTGAGCATGTTTGATTATATCAATTTTATATATTCCAATAAAATAGCTCATTGGTTAGCTAAATTTTCCATTTCTTTGCTGAATGAGATCTCTTGGGTGAGGCTTTCTCCAAGTTGGATTGTACATGATAACAATACATTTGAATCACGCAGTCCTTGATACAAGTAATACAAGAAAAAAAAAGACTTTTAACATTTTGGATGGTGTCGAACATTAGATTGGTCTAGCTTTACGAGTAATTTTGGTTTTAAAAGAAGCAAAATTTATCCAACCAAGAGCAAAAAATTCAAACTTTGTTCACTAGAATAACAGCCTTAAACAACTAGCAGTCAACCAATTGAAATGCCACCTTTAGTGAAACGCAAAGACAAATTATTGGTACCTAACTTTTTCGAGAGTATAAGAAAGTGGCTCTCTTTTAGTGGTCGAAGCAAAGTGCTTACTACTCAATTAAAAGTGGTTGCCTCTCAATCAGTGCAAAAACAATTGCTGTTGAACCAAGTTATTCATCATGTCCTCTACTTGCCCCTTTTGAATACTAATTCTGATACCTATTTTGTTAGTTATGACATAAAAATATATTTGAAAGAATAAAGCATCAATTAGCTGGAAGAATATTGGAAATTTTAGTAAAAAAATATATTGTAAATGAAGAAAATGGGAGCCTGAAATGAACCATAAATTGGGGACCCTATAAAGCATTTATTGGCAGTGTCACAGAAAGGGATCCTGTATCATTTTCCCTTTCCTTCAATAAGCAAATTTAGATGACATTTTACCCGTGAGCCCACTTACCAAAAGATAATATAGCCAAATTTTGCGTACTTTTTTGTCTCGAATTGTATGTCTTGTTTTCTACTTAAAAATTGTTCCAAATTATATCTACCTTTTAAAATATTGGCTTTTCAGTATCTTGATATAATATATTTTAAAATTTTATACTTTTTATCTTCATAGTTTATTTTTAGGCTTCATAGTTAATTCCGCACCGTCTATTTCACCTTTCTTTGTTTGTTCCCTTCTTCGGACACACAGAATATATGCTCACGCATCCATTTAAAAACCAATCTTGAAGGCTCTTCTTCTTCATCAATTCTCATTACGATTAAACAAAATAATATAACCACACATAAAAAAATCCAGAAAATGGGTTGTTTTTCAATTTCTACTATTCTGTTCTTTATAGTTCTCTGTGCTCTGTTCTTGCATGCGCATTCAACTACTCACTGGCAAGACATTGAAGTCTTGAAGCAGCTGAAAAATAGCGTCGACCCCAATTCAGTGTCACCTGGCTCATGCCTGAATTCATGGGATTTCTCTGTAGATCCTTGTGATAATCTCGGAGGTGAAAAATTCACTTGTGGTCTCCGTTGCGACCTTGTCGTTTCCTCTGTTAGCCGAGTCACTGAGCTCGCTCTAGACCAGTGGAATTACTCCGGTTCACTCACCTCTGTCTCTTGGAATTTGCCTTATCTCCAAAACTTAGACATCACTAATAATGCCTTCTCCGGTTTAGTACCTGAGTCACTCTCGAATCTAGCTCGGGTTCAACGAGTCGGTTTATCAGGTAACTCTCTATCCGGGTCAATTCCGAGTTCACTGGGTTCACTTTCAAACCTTGAAGAGCTTTACCTTGACAATAATTTCCTTGATGGAGAAATTCCCCAAAGTTTCAACGGTCTCAAGAATTTGAAACGGCTCGAATTTCAAGGCAATCAAATTACTGGCGAGTTTCCCGAGTTGGATCAATTAATTAATTTGAATTTCATCGATGCTAGTGATAATGCTATCTCCGGCAAACTCCCGGCGAGTTATCCGGCTTCTCTCATCGAGCTTGCGATGAGAAACAACAGCATAGAAGGTAACATCCCGGCGAGCCTCATCGGACTGAATTTCGTACAAGTTATCGATCTGAGTCACAACAAACTCAGTGGGTCAGTGCCAGCGAGTCTCTTCACTCACCCATCTCTCGAACAGCTCACCCTATCATACAATCAATTCGGGTCGGTTCAGGAACCCGGGATCTCGTTTCAGAATAGTCAGCTTATTGCAGCAGACTTAAGCAACAATGAGATCCGTGGGTTATTACCCGGGTTCCTGGGTTTAATGCCTAGATTATCATCACTTTCACTAGAGAACAACAAGTTATCGGGTATGATACCGACCCAATATGCATTGAAAATGGTGTTTCCGGGTGAAGGGGTGTCTCAATTTGAGAGGCTACTGTTAGGAGGAAACTATTTATTCGGACCCATACCGGGTCCATTGTTGGATCTGAAAGCGGGTTCAGTCACAGTGAGGTTAGGAGACAACTGTTTGTACCGGTGCCCGTTGAGATTATTTTTATGTGAAGGTGGGGAACAGAAATCATTATCGGAGTGTCAGGCTTTTGGTCCCATCATTCCTTGATTAATGTGATAATGTCTTTACTTTGAGGTCCTCATTTTCATTTTGTACTATAGTAATTATTGTATCGTTTCAATTTTATCGGAAGGGACTAGTAAGTATTGTATAAATATATTTTTTCCTGCAACCTTATCCCATGTATGGGGTTTTAGATATGATCTAGATGGATCTATGGTAGAGTTGTTATTGTTGTGAAGAGTGAGACAGAAATATAAGATTTCTGACTTAATGTGTTGAAGTAGTAATTGTGGGACAGTTGAGGAAATTTTATTAGCGGATTCTGAATTTAAGCTATTAAGTTCACTGCAATTTCTATATTATATATTGATTGATATGTCTGTCTATATTAGCTTTAAAAGAAGCAAAAGGAGAAAAATAATAGGATGGACTATAAAACAATATCTGGATGGTGTAAAGGTGTATCTTTTCAATTTGACTTAAGTCATCTGTAGCCCCTTAAAGTTGTCTGTATAATTCACTTAGACACCTTAACAAATCTTGTTTCCTATTAGACACTCCAATCTTAAAAAATAAGTACTTATTGAACATTTTTCTGACACTTAATCTAAAGAGAATGTGCGTGTAATACACATGCATATGATGTGGCATTGAAATTTAAAATAATTATAAAAATAAATTTTGCATATAACAAAATCCTAAAAGAAAATACTTTAAACTAAAAAAAGTATACACCCCCTAACCCCACCAACCTCAAACCTCTCTATTTGCCTTGTCCACTATTGTTAACCTCCATTTAGAAAAATTAGAGGTTTTAACATATATTATGAATGAATATATCATTTTTATTTCTCTTTATGCCTTCTTCCTTATTTTCATTTAAATTGATGGTGTTTTCTTAAAAGATCCGTTTTTCTTATATTGATTTCAATTTTTTTTTGTTCGATTTGTGAGGAATAAGGGGTGTGTGGGGAGAGGTGAAGAGGGAGAGAGTAAATATTTGAATAATGATCTTCATTTTTTCCGGCAAGAGAAGATATAGATGGTTTCCATTTTTCCCGGTAAAGAAGATGTACATAATAACTTCCATTTTATCCGACAAAGAACTGGTGATCTCCATCTTTTTTCTGAAAAAAAAAAGCTGGAAATAGACAATGATAAGATGATTTTTTTTATAAAAAAAAGAAGAAGAAAATTTGTGGGGAAATATGGTGATGAATTGTGTTGAAGAAGTGGTTGCAGTAGGTGTGTGATTTTGAAAGGGAGGAAGAAGAAAAAGATTCTTATTTAAAAAAATAATAATGAGAAATATAAAGAAAAAATTGAAAAGGAAAAGGAAAAATGTTAAAATATTGATTTCCCGCGCTCATCAAGACGTGAACTATACTTTTTGTGCGACATCTGTATAAAATGTCTAAATGGTTCAAATTCGAAAAGGTAGAGATGTTCAATAGATAGTAATTCTAGTTTAAGTGTCTAAGTGAATTATGCGTACAATTTTAAATTGCCCTACTTAAGCATTTCAATTTCTATTATTTAATGAAAGCTACGGCAATTGTTTATGAATTTCTATTATTTAATTAGAGATGTGATGCTTGATGGTTTCGGATTGTATGGATGTATGAAAATGGATACGTAACGGACGACGATTAGATTTCCTCGTCCAAAGATGACGAAATGCCATCACATGTTTGTCCTGACTCATAAATGATAATGCTCCTTTTCCCCCACTAATTACTCGCATCTCCAAGCTATAACTTTGTAAAAAAAAAAGTTAAAGCGGATTAAAAAAAAAGATAAATAAATTAAAATAAAGAAAATATTATATTTCAGATTATTGGACATAAATTTTATGTTCACCAATCACCATAAACTCAAATCTTATACTTTTACCTGCTTCTCTCTTAACCAAAGTCTGGAGTTCGAACATTGGGTATAAAAACTTTTTTGGTGAGAGCGTTATCCTCAAATGGAGCCTTACCCAACACATTTAAATTAGTTGAAATTTAATGTGAATATTAAAACTAAATGAGATTTAGTCAAAATTTAATGTGAATATTGAAACTAAATGAGATTTGATTGTTTTTTTTTTTTTTGGTCCATAGATTTGTACCCTACTACTACTACCTTCCATTTATTTTTTAAAAAAAACCATCACACTACTAATATCATACGTGTGAAGACAAAATGATATTTTTTTGGCTATAGCTGCATCATACATGGAACGCGCTGTAACTTTCCTTTTAACCTAAGTTTTTTATTCTTTTAATGGTAAAACCAAAAGCAGAAAGAAAGGGTAGAAGTTAGGGAAGTGGTACACTGATTGCATCGGCAGGGAGCAGAAGCTGCATTACCTGTTCCGCTGCTGACATCTACAAAAATCCACTTTAGCTTAGCATCACATAATCTAGTGAATAGTGATATATTAAGGAGTACTTACGTTCACTTTTATTTATGAGCAACTTTCACATATAGCAAACACAAAATTCATATTTGTATGTTATAGCAAAGTTTGCATAATTGCGCTCCATAGCAAACATATATATGTATAATTCGCTATACATATACAAAAAAACAGTTGTATAATTCGCTATACATATACAAAGAAAGCAGTTGTATAATTCGTTATACATATACAAAAGAAAGCAATTGTATATAAAAGATCAATTGTATAATCTGTGTATGTATAAAACTAGAAAGAGAGAAAGGCAAAAGAAAATTGGGCAGAGAAATATTTGTATTTGTTCACATTAAATTTTATATGTTATTTTACGAGAATAATAAGTTAAATGTATATTTTATTTCGAATTAGCACTGCTTGATCAATGGGGGAGGAGACGGAAATACTTGATCAATTTAAATTTATATCTTTCAACTTGGATTTCACGATGAGGTGGACCTTGAGAAGTTTTAATGTAACAAATAGTGGAAGTATGTAAACCAAAAGTCCACAAGGTAGAAGTGATGGGCCTTATTAATGAATTTTGATTGGTTAGTTGGCACTGTATATAAATTACGTAGCTCTTTTTTTGCCTTTACACATGATCATACAAAGTCTACGCGAGCAGCGGCAGAAACGGAAAATTTAATTGTAAATGCCATTACAATATTGTTTATTCTTATCATACACAATAAGATGAAAGATATTTAAGAAAATCTGTATTTACAAGTAGAGAGACATGTAACATGTAGTAGAAAAAGTGCATATTAAAGTGAAAGCCAATATAGCCTATAGGCACATGATATGACCTTTTATGTGATCTAAGATTGTGTATTTTCTTATAATCTCAAGTTCCCCCGTGGCCGTGGGATGTCTTTTTGTTATTATGGGATCAAATCCATCTCCATACCTTCAAAACTAAACAAATTCAAATGATTGTTTGTATGTCTACATAGTTAGCTAGCTTGTGCACGCCCAATTATCAACTAGTAATAAGATATTATAAAGTTCATTCATAGATTGCAAATGTCCAACATTTATCATAAATCTAGTACAAAATTTTAGGTCTCACATCTTCTCAAAAACAACGTCTATGATGGATATATTGGCTTGCAATTGATTAGCAAAAACATTCTCTATTTCTCTTTCTCAAAAAGTAATTTTTTTGAATCATTCCAAAAAATATGTACTGTTCACTTTATGAGATGCACATCAATTTATCTTCACTTTATGAGATTAATCTTTACTTTATTCAATGCCATTCGCCTCCTATTTTATACCCCAAAAACCACAAAGTCAACATAATGCTCCCACATCACATGTTTTTGGAACAAATAGTACACCATATTTGATCAACTCTTCTATTTTTTTTTTTTAAAAAGCTAGTCCAAAAAGATGAATTTTTGAATGGATGGAGTAATGAGTACAACCTTCTTCTTTTCTCTGTTTTTCACCCGATATTCATATTAGAGTCCGACTATTTAAAATTCGTGTTACATAGGCTCCATTCAGAGAAAAGCGCTTTCTACTAAATATTTTTTCATAACTCGAACTCCAGACCTCTTCTAGAAGGAGAGATATTAATTAAATCTATTTTTTCAGGACAGATGGGGTATTTTTTTTATATGAAAACCTAGAACCTAACCTAATAATACTAGCTAGCTTTCTTGTAATGGGAGTAATTTGAATTTCCCACTCTTCAAATTAAACTTGCTACTACATAGTCAAGCCTCCAAATGTTGAAACTCAAGTATTTTACTACACAAGACAAAAAATACAAATTATTGCATCGTCAACATTTATTACCAGATCCCTTGCAACTGCACTTACTTGAATGAATGAGTGATTTTCCAGTCACCTTTTTCAGTCAATTTTGCTAATTTCAAGCTAAGGCAACCACTCCACTATAGTCAATTATGATCAATATGGATGCCCTTTTTTTCCGCAACTGGTGGTCCATGTTATCTGTTGCCTTAATTAAAATCGTAATTTTCTTTTGCCATATGCTTGGCAAATCATATGCTATATAACATTCAATCAATTATGTAGTGGATGAGTGTAGTACATCTAACATTTCTTTTACTAAAAAAATTGAAAATAATGCAAAGTAAATATCAATACATGAGGACACAAACTAAAGTCTTGTGCCCATTTGACCATAGATATTATTTTCACTTTTTCCCTGAGTATTATTCTAGAAAATTGTTTGAACATGTTATAATTTTCTAAAAAAATTCAGAATTCAAAAAACTCCAAAAAGTTGTTTTCACAACTTTCACTTCAAATCACTCACAAAATTTAAAATCAATTTCAATTTATATTTATGTTTAAACACAACTTGCCAATTTTCGTATACTATTTTTAACTTCTATTTTTTTTCTTTTCAAATTTCACAATTTTGTCCAAATGCCCATTTTAGAACCTTTGCGTCCTCAATCATCGTATCCAAAAACCAAATACAAGCAAAAACTATGATAATAGGCCAAACCCCATTTAAACAAAATTCTACTTACACCACTAAATTGAAAGGTCATGATTTGCACCATTTTCCATACCCCACCCCATCTTACAAGCATCTTGATAAACCAATTTGGGCAAAATGAGTCATCTCCCACTTGCATTATAATATCCAATAATGGTACCATACATTACATGTATAGATGAGATATACATCAACAGTATAAGATCTTATCCATCGTTGCACACAATAAA